ACTGGTCGTAACAGATCTGAAAGTGCAGCTATGGATGAGTTCCATGTAAATTCAATGTCTCCCTCTGCCCAGCAGCCCTGTCCCCTCTGCCCACTCAAGGTTATCATTCCATGTGCTTCTCCTCTCTCCCTTGCCCCCCACATCTCTTCTACATCACTTTCCCCCTCTTGCTACAGATTTTCTATAAGCATCTAAACACACTGTTGTTTTTTCATTTTAAGAAACAAACCAACCTTCCTTGGTTACTTCAGCTACCACCCCATTTCTCTGGCCCTCTCTGCAGATAATTCCTTAAAAGAATTGTCTACCTCACAGTCTCCAATTCATTCCTCTCATAATCTCTTGAGCCCACTCTAGCCATATGTCCAGCCTCATTTCTCCAAAAGCCTCCTCTGCTCAAGGTCCCCCATCATTCCTCCTCTTTGGTGGACTTCCCGTGGCTCCCAGGCCATGCAGCTGGTGTTCCTGTACCCACACTTGTTGCTCTCTTCTCTGTCCCTTTTGCTGGTTCTTATTTTTTCCCCAACTTCTCACGCTCAGTCCTCAATCTTCTATTTCTCTCTCTACTCCCTGCCTTGGCAGTGTCATCCAGTCTGGTGACTTGAAACACTTTCTCTATGAAAATGTCTCCAGTTGCATAGCTTCCTGCAAAATATCTCTCGCAAACTCTGGTCTCTTGTATCAAGTTGTCCACTCACTATCTTGAAGTTAAAATATTCAAATCTCATCTCTAAATTTTACTTCCCAGACCTTCTCTCAGGTTGCCTTTTGCAGGTTGATGGCAACTGCATCCTTGCAGTCACTGAGGACAAAAACTTAGTGAAATCATTGACCTGCTCTCTGTTTCCCACACCTCTCAGCAAACTCCTTAGCAAAATCCTGCTGGTTTCATCTTTAAAATGAATCCAGAATCCAGCCATTTTCACCAGTTTCTCAGTCATCACACTGGCTGGAGACACTACCACCTGACTTCTAATCTCATTTCTGCCCATGTCTGACCTTGGAAAGAGAATTCTTCCCTTCTGGCCACCCACCCACCTCCTGCCTCAGTCCTGAACAAGGAGGGCTGGACTTCATAGCTTAGCAAAAGATGAGCCAGCCAAGGATGGGTTACTTCAAGGGCTCAATAAGCACGAATTAATGCTCACCAAATAATAACTATCTAAGCTGCTTGAGGATCCCTTCTCCCTCATGGAAGGGTGTTTGTTTTTTTCCAATTACAGTTGACATACAATACTATATTATTTTCAGGTGTACAGCATAATAATTAGACACATATAATTAATGAGGTGATCACCCCTGCCCCGACCTGCAGGGCACGCTTCGTGGGTACACCGCACCAAATCCTGCAAAGGAATGAGAGGATAGGAGACGCGAAGAAATGGAGGCAAGACAAAGTTCTGATCAAGCCTCAGTTTTATTCTTTACAGCGAGTGGTATTTATACTTTTTCTAGAGGATGGGCAAAGGAAGTCGTTAAGGATGTAACAGACTTTGGAATGTCGCAGCTTATCAGCGGAGATGTAGCTTGCTTTGTGCTTAGGGTGAGGGTATGTTATTTCTTAACTCCAGGCTAAATTGCAAGGTTAACTTTTAACTCCAGGCCAAATCGGGAGTTGGCTTGGAGGAGCCAGAAACCTCTTGTTGTAAGCTGGAGATGTATATGTGATTTATAATGGCTCCCAACAATTCCTCCCTTACCATTTAGTTAAGGGTGGGCATTAACCGACTGGGGAGTAGTGACCTGGTTCCTCCCATGAGATCG